AATGAATCGCTTCAGCCCATTTGTAGGAAGTCGTTTTCGGTCAGTTCAGTTTATGGATGATTTTATTCTGAAATCTCTGGTTCGGAAGTTGTCATTGGAACGCTGTGACGTCTAACAACTGCGCGACATCTGATAGCGATTACTGGTACGAGAAACAAGGTAAACAGACATTTATTTACGCACCTTGTAAACATAATAAATTGCATAACAGAAGTTAAAATGACAGGAAACGGAAAGCTAAAAGGAGAGGTTTTCGGCTGGTAAGCTAGTAAACTAAGGCTAAGCTAACGTGTTTATACGGGTAGCAACATGGACAAACATGTGCATAAACAAGTAGTAACGATCTAGCCAGTAGTTTTATATTGCGCTTTGGGAACATGAAAGAGTTCATATTCGCCAGCTTGGCGAATATGGCAAATACTTTTTCACAGCACTGTGTATGGGTCAGATCAGAGGTGTAGCGCTACTTGTTTAAATAGGAGACTTCATTGGTCATGCACGCGTCCATGTGCACAAGCACCTTTGTCTTGTAGCTTTTACCACATTCAATTCTAACCGAGCAAATAATAATAACATGAAATCATCTCTCTGGCCATCTTCATCAGTTCTTACATGCTGCGTGCAGCTCTCCCCTTCCTGGATGTCTTCTCTCTCTTTTTCATTGTTTCCTGTGGGATTGATGCCTGCTCTCTTTCGCCCAGGCCTGATTTGATCACAGTGGGCAATCTTTGTCAAGCCTATAATGTAACTTATATAAATGGCCAATGGCATCCCTGGTATTTATGCTTGTCTGTGGTGCATTATGCGTTAATGGCCGTGTGGTCATGACCTGATGTTTTATACGTGATGCCAGCCAATAAAGACGCTGATAATTCTTTTGCTCTTTGGTGCTCACTCTTGGTTGTGGTATGTTTTTTTCAGGGGCAAGCATATTTGTTTCTTTTTTTTATCCTTCACGTTCATTCTGATAGTTTCATCTTCTGTGAATTCAGTGCTTGTGTTTCTCTGGTGTAGATCTGCTACCTGTGTTGTTCTTAATGTGTGATCTGTGGTACCAGGGTAGGACACTACCATACACTTTCGGTATATAGTGTATCTTTTCTGCATGAAATTTTATACCTTGCACATGACACATAATTATGCCCATGAACTGATCCATAAGTGAAATTATTTTTTTTAATTCAATTTTATTTATGTATTTATTTATACAGCGCCAAATTATGAGAACAGTTGCCTCAAGGCGCTTTATTTTGTAAGGTAGACCCTACAATAATACATACATGAGAAAAACTTAACAGTCATACAAACCCCTATGAGCAAGCGCTTTGGCTACAGTGGGAAAGAAAAACTCATACAATCATTATCTTTTGAATGCAGTAGGTCCGTGCAGGTGCATGCACCGATTACTACAATGTTTTTTCACCCTTGAGTCTAAAAGGCTGATGGAGTAGTTTGTGAATGCCATAACTTTCAAACTGACACCATAGATGCATCTACTAAAAATCTCAGACTAGTTTGAACCTCGGTAACCTTGACCTCAAGGTCAGAGGTCAACATCTACTGAAAGGAGATGCACCTGCTATTGCTATTCAGAGGTAGCAATGGCAGAAACTAGTATTTTGTGCATTATTAAATGTTTTAACACGCTTTGGTGACGTGATTGTGCAGCACTTTGCTGATGGCTATCAAAAGCGTCTGGTTGAGGAGCAACTTGCTAAGAGACACTGAACCAAGTATTAGTGGGGAGGTTGTATTCACATTTTACATTACACATCTATTTTATCTTATTAAAGATGTATACTGCACAATCATTCCACCCTGGAAAAAACAGTTAAGGATTAAAAAGCCCAAATTACCAAGACCTTCATGGGGCTGAAGGTCCACTGATGATGAAGATGATGAGTGTGCATAAATTTCTGACCACAGCGTTACGCTTCTGCCTGTAAATCTGCCTCTTGAAACTGAATGTTTTGGACTCGTGGTTGTCAGTGTTTTGTAGAGTTTATGAGAACAGCTGCAGGTATGAGCAAATTTAGTAACATTGTTATTATTAGAAATGAGTCAATTAAACAATTGATTTCTTATATGATTGTAGGAGTTGCTGAATGATGACGGACTCGTCGCTTCTTAACTCTGAGCTGGACTTACAGCAACAGGAAGAGTTGTATCAGCAGCTACTGTTACAGGTAAGTTTGTTTTTATGTTAACGGTGATCACATGGTAACGCATTTACAGTGGAACCCCGACTTACGAAATTAATTTGTTCCCGAGGGTCTTTCGTAAGTCGAAAATGTTCGTAAGTCGAAGCACCCATCGCGCCTTTTGAGTGAACGATAGGCTATAGGCTAATTGCTAACTGCAACAGCAATACGTCGTTCAAGTGGAACAGCGAAGTGCAAGTACCAAAGCCGAGTGGGTTGTCACATGATTTGGAAGGCATTGTGGGCATTGTAGGCATTGTGGGCTCAGCCAATCAGAGCCAGCGGATTTCGTTACGCGGGCATTTTGCCGTAACACGGGCAGAAATATTGCCGTTAAGTGCCTTCGTAACTTGAATTTTTGGCCCTTTCTCAATTCTCAATTACGCGAGTACGTACTCGCGTTCTCGGCGGGTACGTACTCGCCGAGAACGCACGGGAGTACGGACTCGCCGAGAACGCAAGCACGGACTCGCGATTTGTACAATTGGAACACCAGCATACTTGATGATGTCACAGGTCTGGAGTTTTTACCGCCGTCCCCTCTTAATTTAACTGTGAGTAATATGTTATGAAGCTTAACTTTAATCACAGTCAAACTGATTTACTCAGGAACAAATAAAAAGCTGAAATAAACCAAACATTAACATTTAGAAGTGATCTAAGTGACTTATATATCATGTTTAACCTCAGTAGTGAAATCTCTATTAATAAAAATAGTGTACATGTACATACGTGTACATACCTTAATAAAAACAAGCAGGTGAGATGTTAGAACGCTTTTATTTTTATCTTAGTGGACACTCAATACAATAGACAGCTACTGGGGTTTGTTTAACCTGAGTAGCGAAAAGACCGCGGGGGGGTTGAAAACGATGTGCCGGGAGTCCGCTGTTCTCGCCAGCTGTAATAATCCTCGACCTCGCTGTCTGCTATGGAGCTGGCGGGTCACAGACGTCTCCGAAAACGTCGGAGCTCGTTTGTAAATATATGATATCTTGATAAATTGAGCAGATATTTGAAGTTTACACAGCTACATTCTCGCTTGAAAAGAAGTTAAAAGTTTATTTTGTGACCCAGAAAGAGTAATATTTAAAAGTTTTTAGCCCCGCTCGTCCGCCATTGCCGCGTTTGAGTTTTGGACGAAATGCATTCTGGGATATTTAGCTGTACCAAGTCCACACAAGTCACCACCGATGCATGCTCGATAAAACGGGCGGAGCGAGAACACATCCGGGACTTTTTCGCGTTCTCGGCTTGATGCGTACTTCGAATTGGAACAGTACTTGGTCTCCGACTGATGACGTATCACGAGTACACGAGAACGCAAGTACGCACAAGTACGCATATTGAGAAAGGCCCTTTCACTAAACGGGGTATTCGTAAGTCGGGGTTCCACTGTACTTGGCAAGTGGTCGGCAGTTCAATCCTAGCTGGAGACAGAAATCCCCACAGGGTGTTAAATAGTAAAACACAATAAAGGAACAAAGATGAATTGTTTTGAGGTAAAGCTGGCCCTCTGACGTAGTCGTGCTACATGAGAAACAAAATTCTGACAAAATGTTACATTTGGTCATAGAGGAAAATTAGTTTCATATGTGTGGGTGAAATGCAATGGAAGCATTTGCAGTAACTGCTAGTCAGCCCTGAAAGACTCATTTTATTTTTTTCCCATCAGCCTCTCGTCAAAGATGAGTTACAGACTGAGATGTGTTGTGTTGCTGCATCACCCAAACTCTGTTGTTTACAAAACGAAGTGTGCGGCCCCTGAATTGGGACACAGCTAGTAACATACCTCTCGCTCACTTACAATAACTTAAATGCACATGGACCAATCGCATGATATGCACAAGTCACTTTGCAGGCCCACATGGGGTTTTGAGACAGATATCACCCTCCAGCCCTCCGCAGATCCAGAAAATGTACGGTGCATTCAAGTCCCAGTGGGAAAACTGGGACATCTGGGTTTCCTCTGTATTTTCTTCTCCAAATAAAGCAGGTGTTTCTTTTTCTAAGCTTGTCACTGCTCCAGTAGAAAGCACAGACGTTGTTGGCATATATGCATCCCAGATGATGACCACACGTCATGTAGAACCATCTGCAGCTAAAATCAAATATTGTGCTGAATATTGAGAAGTTCATATAAACTTTAAGATAGACATGCGAACAGAAGCCTACGCATAAACAGAGGTGGCCTGTGACATTTAAAGTGCACTCAGAAAACTTGCGTTGTTTATATTGTCCTCTGTTCGATGTTGGGAAAATAAATTTGTACAGAAAATGTTATTGAAGAATCTCCATGCACAAAAACTGTGAGAATCACAGATGACATTTGATGTTGCAGGTGTTTTTTCTTTGCTGTGAGTTTGCCAAACAATAAATAATATGTGTGATATTTGTTTAGACCCTTGGACAGATCAACAGTGAAAGTCCAGACTCCAAAGTAATCCGACCAGAGCCTGGTGAGCTACGTCACAGATAGATAGTAGATATAATCTTTACATTTTGGAACTCTACTCTAAGTTTGCTCATTAATACAAAAATTTCTT